ATCGTATTACACAAAAGTAGCGCCTCACCAATGCCGAGGGACAAACCGCTATCGTATTACATAGCGCCTTTGAATTTTGCGTTTGGAATCAAAGCTTTGGCATACGATTATCACAAAATAACACTGTTAGACAACCAATGAATTTTAGTGGAAATGCTTATGGAGATCACACTAGTTAGTTAAGCAACCCCTCCCCGACGCCCTAGTATGACTTAGAAATGCAGTTAAATTACTTGAGATCCGTGATTTGAGATCTAAGGATCCTAAGTTAGTTGCAGTAATTTTCACTGATTCTGCTTAAAAGGCTGCATTGTCATTAACTGACCAATGCTGGAGGAAAGTCTATGGAAGTTCTCGAATTAGTAAAGAGGCTGAAAGCACAACAATAAGCAGGTCAAATTCTAACAATGCCCCCGTGAACACTAAATTAGAGCGAACCGAGATCTCGGGGCAGAATATGCCAAGAAACTACTCCATCCGACTGCTTGCTGAAACTCGAAGTGCAAGGCAGATATCAAGAACCGGACCGACGTACCATTGAGTAAATTGGAGTGATAGCCGGAACGTCGTACCTCCCTTCAGTTTCAACCCCCAGATGAGTAATCAAACCTCGAAGATAAGCAAACCCAACCGAGGCCCGCCAATCAAATCAACGAAAAAAGCAACTATAACAGCAATCTTTTGGAGGCATCCATACGCCTTTGCCGGGTTCTTTTAGAATTTGATTACCAAACTGGCACGATGAGTGACAACAAACCATAATAAAGATTAGAAATAACCACCCAAAGCGTTAGCAACAGTGAAAGCCACTAGATGAAAGGATAATGATCAACTATCGTGCAATCACACAGGGAGGAATTACCCACTGCAGTCTAATAGGACGCATGCAAGATTAATGTGACCCTTTCATCGCCATCATAGGAGGCCAAATTGCCACATCCATGTGGTCCTTGGCTGAAAAACAAGAACTCACATAAAAAATCTCAAGCCAAATATATTTGCGAGAAAAGGGATTTACATTAGAAGTATGGGTGTTAGACAGTTGTAAATTTAAGAAATTATTTACCACAAGTGAATGTGAAAGCAATCGGTACAAGTTAACAAGGCCCTTTACCATTTGGGCTACAAGGAAGAAAATCAAAGACGAGAGACAGCAACCAGCAAAAGGATAATTAGTACTAGAATAAAAACAGCACTTGCATAAACCTACAATCAATTAGGAAATTTACCTTCCAATCAATCTGCATGACCCGCAAAGTCTTGGTAGAAACTACCGGCCCGTAAAACGGGTGCCATTGTGCAATGAAAAAGATCAACCAACTAGATATTAAAAACAAGTAAGAAACCAACTCACAAAAGGTAACAGCAAACCGAAGTCAGAACTAAAGAAATCCTCCATATCCTAAGGCAAATAGTCACAAGAGGAGACTTCATACTCTTTATTTGGACTTTTTGGGGCACAAAGACATCCAAGAATGGCAACCAGTACCCAAAACCCAGTAACGACCCCAACCGGAACGTAGAACCCAGGTGTCATATCGCCTCTTGGGTAAGGCGCTACAATCTGAAAAAAGTAAAACACAGCAGAAGATATTTGGTAGAATTTAAGTATTAGCGATTTAAAAAGTAAACGTGCTTACAAGTATCTATCACTTAAAATTTGCTTTTGACATTCTCAGTATTAAAAAAGTTGGGAAAATTCAAGATGAAAACAAGAGTCCTTTTTTCGTGCACTGTTTTAAATTAATAATATCATTTACGAATCTATGTTTGAATGCTTAAAAATTTTCTATTTTTGTTTTTTTACCCTAACTTTCTCCTTCATTTAATTAAAAATTAACACCTTTGAAAATGACCTCAATTTTGACTCTTTTTTATTTTGAAAGATCCTTCTTTCATCCTTTCGTTTGCACTACTCTTCCTAGCTTAATAATTCTTTCTTCCACCTTACCATTTGTAGCCATTGAACTAGCTGACAAAGTGGACGAGGCCATGTTTATGAAGCAGTGGTAAGGGAAGGGGTACAGTTATCATGGCTAAGCGTGTATTGGGTACGGTTCCTCTTCAGGGCATGATAATCTTGAACCCATCAGGGGGTTTGAATCTTGTGACGCGTCAAAAATAGCCCTGATTATGTATTACCTTCTTAATTATAACGTCCATACGAGCATCTGATTTGATGAGTCCATAAAAAGCAAGTGAAGTTTGGGTCCACATCTTACACTTTCTGCATATATATTGAATCGATTTAGGAACCAAAATGTTACGTATAGTTCTCTGAGTCTTTTTTGAAGTAGATATATTTTGTAGGAGCATAAGGGGATATACACTACTGATGGAAAAAGTGTAGCGTCCCGAGACTTCCCAGAAGACGAAAGAAGACACAGTACTCGGGCAGAATACATATATTCAGCACGGAGAAGGTGTCTGGGCTACTGACACGGCCTGAAGACCAGCCCACCTAGCGAGGTACAAGAAGGCTAGTTCAAAGTACAAGAGTGGCGCCTCACAAATACCGAGGGATATACCACCATCATATTATAAAAGGCCTGAGTCCATCGCTATGAATCGGAGGCCATGTTGGAGGGCGGAAATACAATGGTCAGAGCCTCAGGTATATGCATAATCATAGCGCTGAGTTAGGCAAAGAATCAATGCATTATATAGTCCCTCTCTCTATAAACGTCATCCAGGCGCTAATTTTAGTCAGTCCGCAGCTCCAGCCATCTTCACCATTACCTAGATTTTGCACTACTTTCATTAAATCTAATATTCTGCTCTGTTTAGTAACTGTATTGGAGGAAGGGGAAATGTGCTGCTTATTCTGTATGTCCATCCCTAATCACAGGAACAGTCACCCAAATGCAGTCATGTAACAACGAAAGGAGTTTAATACGGTTCCATGGCGATAGCATTTAGTCATTATTCCACCTTGACAATTTATCTATCAAGGTTCTATCCAGCTACAAGAGAGCTGGAGTGGGTATGACACGTTGACTTAATTGAATACCATATACAGGCACCATGGGCAGTTCTGTAGTGGGCTTTTTGGATGTAAAAAGGGGCACATCCAGTGCCGCTTTATTTATTAACAGCTTTCAAGCGGACCACGAAACTGAGGTAGTTGTCCAAAAGAGATATCAATTTCAACCTTTCTGTTGGAAGTCGTCACTGATTATCCATTCCACCCATTTGAAACTCCCCTCGGTCAGTTTTCTGCTTTGAGGAGTAAAAATTTCCTAGAGAGTTCCAGCCAATCTTAGCGTAGGCGTGATGCTGCTACGATGAATTTCCTTCATGTGTAAATTCATGTCATTTGCATTAGTAGTAACCCGGTCTGTAGATTTATCAAGGAGATTCCTTTGGAAGGCGAACCAAATTGGGTGGGCATTTATTCCTAAAATGGTGCTAGAAGATGAACCAATTCTGCACCGAGCACATTGTATACAATTCGCCTGTCTAGAGTACATCCTTTTAAATTCAACAAGCAAAAGAGGATATCATGTCCCTAGAGGATTACTTAGGAACTAATTTCGATTCCATGAAAGCTGATCCCTCCGCATTAGATTGCTTCTGCTTAAAAAGCAACTTTAGAAATTTGCCTAATGCAGACGTGTTATTAGCCTTGTAATACTTTAATTTTATTTATTATTTAGGGCTCCTGCCACTGTACCTTCACCGTGCCGCATGGCCTCCGGGCCGCGTAGGTAGCATTCAAGCCCTTCTGTACGTTGATAACAATAATTCGGCCAGAGTATTGTCTTTTTTCGTCTTTAGGGAAGTCTCGGGGCCCTACAAGTCTTTCATTTACAGAAGTTAACATTTTAACAAAAATTTGTTAAATTCTTTCAGCTGCCGCAGGTGCGGTGCCCGCAGCGTCTCCCAAAACCGCTAGTAGGGAAAAAAAAGGTTGTTCTCGACTTACGGATGGTCTGAGGTGCTTTCAAATGGCCATAACTCCAGTGTCATCAAGGTGGCGGTTCTAAAACACCGCCTAGTAAAGTAGGACATAAAACACGTCAGACAGCTCACTCCCTCTCTCTATGAGATGTTTAAGGTAGTAAGAAACAGGGGCTCTTCCAAGTCACAATGACTTTTATAGCACTTTGGTTTTTTGTTCCTACACCAAATAAATAGATTTATTTACATCAGGAATGTAGAAGACAAGTGGTTTTTGCAAAAATTTGCTAAAAATTAGGCCCAAGCACAGTCGTTTCAAACGGCGACATTACTACTCTGCTTCTTGCACTAAGTACGGGTGGTTTGCCCATAAAATGTGGTTAATTGCTTCTTTTAACTCGAGCTATTGTTTGTTTTTAGCGCACGGATAAAGTACAAGCTTGTTTAGAAAAAAAAAGAGGTCAGAACCTCAATCGCTTCCTATTCCACTACACAGCAGTGAGAGGGACAAAAGTTTTTGTGAGATAAAACTGCGTAGTTATTCTCCGGGGCAAAGTATGGACGTGATATGGCCTGACGATGTTTGCTTGAGTTCCTCAGTTCAGCAAAGGTCTGGTCACCACCTCCTGCCGTTTTCAGCTGCAGGATATTAATTTCCCAGTAGTAAAATAATCAAGAGCCACCATTTGGCCCAAGCACCGCGTGGGTGGGAGTGGAAAAGAGGCCGGCAATCCGGATTTTGTCGACCGACTGATACACCCAGACTATCACAGAGATTACTTACTTTGTGAACATTTTGCAACTGAGTGGGATACTTGGAAAGTATCAGCATTTCTAGTTTTAATTTACAACTAATGATTAACTGAGGACCCGACTTTAACAAAGTGTTAGAGGCTAACGAGCGGGCCATGAAACCGGCTGTCGATTCCGTAACTTGAGGATATCCTCACCCCCTATCCCTTTCCCCTAGTTTCTTCAAAGAATATACCCGCCGTATAACATTACCTGTCTCTCTCTCCTTCATGAATAACGCCACTAATACTAACACAATACACAACAGCTTGCCTAGGATGGGAGGCTGCCATCGTCTTGGCTGCTGTGCCTCACTTGATTCAAAAAAGGGGAAACGGTGAGGATGATCATCAGCAGTAGGTGGAAGATACACATTAGTGTGGCATGTGGGCTCTCCAGTCCCCACAGGTTGTACTTTCCTTGGATGACACGACCTCTTGGCAGTGTCACCTTCTGGCCTTCTGATCTTGCCACGTAAATGTCCTTCCGCTTTGATGTATCTTATCCTGTCATGAAAGATAGCCCGAAGGGCTTTGATAACTCCATGTCGCGGTCTTGTTTTGGGGCTGGATGGGAAGTGAAAAAAGTAGCGCCTACGCTCTTGCCTCAAATAAGTGGTAAGTGAGCAGCCAGAAGCACTTCCACGCTGCAATCATTTTAGGTGAAATGATAATATACACAGATATCCATCCTTTTTTCTTGCAGAAAGTTGAATGTTTCAAATCTCGAATGGTGTAAAAGTTGGGTGATTTTAACCCCTTTTTCCCCTCATAAAGAGGCTTTCACTTCAGGAAAAGCTTTTAATTAATTTAATGCTTTGGCGCCATTGCGCACTTGAGGAGGAAGCAGCAGAGTTTTTTGCCAGTTGCTGTTCTTTTTTCCCGCTTTTGTCGCAAAATGAGAATTGAGAAGTCTTACTTGGCTCATCTTAAAGCGAATTTTTTGGCAAAAAGGCAAAAAGGAAGGAGAATAATTAATTGAGTGATCAGGCGATGGTGATGATAGGTGGTAACTTTTAAATACCACGCAATTCAAGACATTGCTCCCCAATTTTTTGACAGGTTTCACCCCGCTCTTCCCACAGCCATTCTTCTTCAAGGCTAGCTAGTATTTTGAAAAACCAAAGAACATCATTTACGGATTTTTCTATCGTGACTCTTGACTTCAATATCGGCAGGTGAAGGAGGTGAAGGTTGGTTACTGTTCTACAGTGAGCTAGTTGGCATGTGTAGGAGTGTTTACAGAGTTGATATTTACGTCAAACTGTCTGTCTACATTCACTCCAATTGCTGGGAGTGAGTAGACACGATTTCCGAAACCCTTCTGAAGTGAGCCTTTATTCGCAGTAAACCTCTTAACTCCGCAATATCTAGAATTGCCATTCCAAAAAGGAACTCGGGATTGATGTTCTGGTAGGAAGAAAATAATTTTCCCTAAGATATACACTCGGATTTTAGCTTCTGTATTTACCAACTAAAGATAGTGAATAAAGAGTTTGTAAAAAGAAAAAGGCTGCTAACACTGCTTACATTCTATGGTATGACAAGTTGGCAGATAATACTGACAAAACTGACAGGTCCGAAAATTTTAAATTTTGGCATTGAAAAAAAGGCCCAAAACACAAAACCGTGGGCACTTTCTTAGTACAAATCTATGCATGCTCTAATTGATAAGATTTTCAAAAAAAAAAAGTAAGTTGAACAGGGCATAAGCATAATCAGATCACTTTCAAAAATAGATTTCCCGATGTGTTTTAATAAATAAGGACAAAGCTTATGAGAGGAAAAGGAGAGAAAGTTGGACAATTTTTTCTTTGAAGTAAAGGAACTGAATAATATGGCCCTTTTTATCATAAAAAGGTGTGTCACCTCTGCATGTTTGCCTGCTGCGTGGTGATTGGCTGGTGGCCAGTCCTCCCCGCCCCCTCCGCATTTCGGATTGGTCAATTTTGTTGTTGAACGTGGATGCCACAGCTAAGCCAACTGAGCCACCTTATATCATTTTTTCACGAACAATAACTGGGATCTGCCAACTTAAAGGTAAATATATGCTTTAGTTTCTTGAATGAATGATATAATGCATGTTTTTGCGCTGGAAAAATAGCAGAAGTTACATTTTTTACTAGATAGTTTGTCCCATTTTTGATCACTTCACCGGACTTTCTCCTATCGTTTAACCCCCATATCGTGTTGAACTTTGATTTTTAGTTTTAATAACATCCTTAAGAGAACATTTTACTCAGAATGTTTACAAATTTATTCGTCGCCAGAGTAAATAAAGTGGTACGGATTTGAAAAGGGAAAATGGGTAAAACCCGGTTGTATCATTTCGAGTCTTCCCAAAACTTATAAACAGCCGAAGCAAAGTTAAAAAAGGCACATTAATGACGTATGGAAGAACTGATATGCTGCCAACACAGCCCGAAGGCCATGTCACAGAATGGAAATACAACCCGCGGAGACTGAAATCCTGGCGTAGTAAAGCACACAAACTAATTGCTAAACCCCTGCAGTGGAAGCCAACTTTTGAATCACTACAACATGCAACAAGCGAAATAAAAAATTTTAAAGCACTGTTATTATATTCCTTTAAATTCTAACAAGGACTAAATAAAAGGCAAATATTTCTCACTGAAAAAAGGATTTTTAAGCTTCCCAGCTGGACACGGAAATTCCGGTTTTATCTCCTGTTGAATTAATATGTTGGTGATGTACCTTTTAAGGGAATTTCTCTATGTCTAGACAGCTGTCTGGTTGACATGACTACGGGTTGGATTAGAGGGTGGTACATCGTAACTTCGAAAAGTACAAATTCCAAGCGGATCTGAACAAAGTCTAGCACCTCCTCTTTGAACGCGTTGAAAAGGCCTTCAGGTTTCAATCGCAGATAATCCTTAAAATTGCCGCTTTTCTTGGTCAGAAATGGGACAAAGAAAGAAATTAAGAGGATTGTGGAAGCAAAATTAGATAAAATCTGTCAAGTTGGGGTCTTGAGAGATTTGGCTGTATTCAAGCAGGAAAGACGTGCCACTGACAGGAATGAATGTACTAAAAGGCTGATCGTATCTATCCTGCATGCATGTATAAAGTTTTTTACGTGAGGCGTTGAATTTTACTGGCTCTATCTCTTCTGACTTCGAAATTTGGCAGGAATACTTGTTTAGAGGGGAAGAAAAGTGAGTAGCTTGGAGGGGTCTTGGATCCTTTTATGGATTTTCCTTTTTCTGGCTCATTTTCTACACTGTGAGATTCAGGAGTTGCATAGCGAAGGTCTCGGAGTGGAACTTTATCTCGCATACACACAGAATGTCTGGCAGGCGACAAGCAGAAATGGCACAGCCGAATGCCATGCCATAAGAAGGCAAACAACCAAAAATCTGCTGAGGTTTATCAAAGTGAAGTCTGCTAAGTTGCTCAGCCCCAATTTTTCGCCTTTATTTTTATCCATTTCTAAGGCTAACTACACCCATGGGCTGCAATCTCCCCAAACGGCTTTGGGATTAATGTGTAAGATGCTTGAAAAACGTAACCCTACCTTTATTTCCTCTCACTTTTGCTCGCACTCCCTATTTTTGGCCCTCCTTTAAGTGAAGTAGCTCTCTCGTACAGGCGTAAGTGCCTTTGGTAAAAGGGATGAAGATGGTTACTTTTCTTCCCTTCTTTTGACATAGAGAGAGAGAGAAACTACTTACTTACTGGAAGGAATGATTTAACCCCAGATCAAAGGCTGCAGTTAGGCTTCAAGAAAACCCTGCTACCTACTTAACTTTCTTGCATTCCTGTCTGCAGATTAGCTTTGAGAATGTTCAACATCCTTGTGGTCGGTATAGAATCAAGGAAAAGCACGATTTCATCGACGATAGGATAAAGATCACGCCTTCCAAGACATAAAAGACCACCTACCCAGACATCAAGTAAATCTTTTCTTAGGTGGCTCAATAACTTGCAAGGTACCGTACTGATATGATTAGATTTTTCGAAAAATTCACCATTTTAATCTTGAATGAAACAATCGAGACAAACACGCGATTGCTGAGGTGACATGATTACTTTTGTAGCACTTTGTAATTTTTTGACTGACAATTAATCAGGCTTTAACGAGCTGAGGGTGTTGCAATTGCTGTGTCAGTTTCTACAACACAGATACTGGGTTTTGGCAAAAAAAGGAAAACGGAAGGATAAGGCAGGAGGCAGTCCGAATTCCGCAGAACAGCTGTTCCAATCAGGTAGGAAAATATGGTCCCTGGAATACATCATCTTACCCTAGCAAGCTACAACTGAAGATGATTCAGCCTTGATTTAAATCTAGAACACATCGGTAATCTCTAGGTGTGTACTCAAGCAGAAAAAAAGGACTAACGCATTCTTTTCTTTTTTTGATATTTTAGGATTTAAAGTTTGGAGAGGTCTTACAGACGAGATTGTTGCAAACATATTTTCAATAAGTCATTAGTAATTGGCCCTTTCTCATTGGTGAATCTAACTACCAATAAAATTTACTCATTTCTCCAGATTCGCACATTGATTGGTTATCGAATTTCAAGTTTCACAATTTAGAATCCGCCTTCCTTTGCCTACAATTAAAAAATTTTGCGATTTTTCACAAAATGTTAACAAGGGAAACCGAGTTTTCCCACGAAAGCGGGGCGTGATTCATTCATCTACTGGTGAGACAGTGATTTAAATTTAGAACACACCGGTGATCGCTAGGTGTATTCTCAAGCAGAAAAAAGACTAACGCATTCTTTTCTTTTTTTTTGAAATTTTGGGAATTGAAGTTCGGAGACGTCTTACAGACAAGATTGTTGCAAACATAATTTCAATAAGTCATTAGTAATTGGCCCTTTCTCAGTGGTGAATTGACTACCAATAAAATTTCCGCATTTCCTTCAATTCGCATATTGATTGGTTATCGATTTCAAGTTTCACAATTTAGAATCCGCCTTCCTTTGCCTACAATTAAAAAATTTTGCGATTTTTCACAAAATGTTAACAAGGGGAAATAGTTCAAGGATTGCAGCACAAGTTGACAAAAAAGGATGATCATTAAGCAACCATCAGTTGAACCGAGTTTGCCCACGAAAGCGGGGCGTGATTCATTCGTCTACTGGTGACACGG